CAAAGAGACTAACAAGTGCCATTACAGCTGCCTTGGAACTGATTCCCTTTTGCACACACGGAAGATTGCCACTTAGAATGTAATCCTGAAATTAAGGGCTAATTTTCTTTCAAGCTTCGATAGTTCTAAAGTTGAAACTTTAACTTTTGTTGTCATCACGATGATCTTAGTTCATTATCAGTTATTTATTGTTTCTTTCAAATTATTTTCATTATTTTCAGTGAAATATCAAAGAGGAACAGTACACACTAAAGATTCTTGCTTTGAAATCATTCCGCGATTGAAATAAAGGATATTTTAAACAACAATAGAAAAGTTATATTTTTAATCATTTTATGATGTTTCGAACAGTGGTCTATAGAATAGGGTCCACTGCACGAAGCAATTGCCATTGCTTTTTACATTGTGGATCCTAACCGAAGTCTCTCGCTAGAGAGACCCTTTTTCTGGAAATATTATCATGATTCGTTATTTTTCATTGTTTTCTACTCCTTATCCGTTATTCCTTGACTAATCCATATCAGTATTACCATACCAGTGGACTAAATTCTTTTATTCAGCAGAGAGTTCATTGTAATGCATGTGTACAAAGCGGACAACAAAAAATATATGCTTGATTGAAGCTAAGCTTGCGCAAGAGAATTCGAAACTGGAGTATTGTTTGKACTGCGTGACATTGGTACCACGATATGAARCGGGATACAATAGTTTAAGAGCGATCTAAATCCGGTCTCAGCTTTAATGCTGTATCTTTTCTACGGACCAGTTTCATTTTCAATTCTGTAGAAGTTTGTTATTTTATAAACTAGTTCTATTTGGTAATTTGCTTTCTTCACGTCTTCCCGTGTTCTTAAGAAATTGCGGCGGTAGGAGTTGGGTGCCAAAAACATCACGTGTAAAGGTAGTGTRAATTTGATCGTTTCGCTGTTTAGAGTTAGGTGAATTTGGCTCATATTCCTGGTTGATAAAATGATAAAAAGGTTTTCAGTTAACGGTCATTTGGTGTCAAATAAATCAGGGCGGGAAGGAATCGATCCGGGGATCTAGAAATTTAATGGCCCTACTTTAGAGCAGAAAATGGACGAATGAAAATCCAGGKTTTTTTCCCATTTTTCAATCCTTAATTTAAAACTCAATTTTAAGAGCTCAATGAAGAAATATATCCCGCGTTCCGCAATGATCTGCCTTTTGAATATGAGAATGTTTTWCATCAAATGAAAAACTTAAATGATTTTATTGATATCTTAGTCTGAAAGATGAGGATCCTTCTGCTAATATTACTTTGCTGCTTCACTTTCAATGAAATTCGAGGTAAGATCAAAAAGTAGCAAATTACAATTCATAAAATATATAACTTTAGCTTATTTTCAAATAGAGCAATTTTATTTAATCCGTGAAATAAAAACTAAATAGTTCTTAACAATCAGTCACTATTTTGTACTTAAATAGATGATAGCACTCAAGCGAATCAACTTATAGTTCAATACTCAGGAGACATAATTAAATACCCAAGAATCAAGTAATTTCATTTTTTTTCTTTTTTTATTTATATCACAGTACAAATGAAATAAAGAATGAATGACTTAAATTGATTCTTGGGTATTTAATGTCTCCTGGGTATTGAACTATAATTTGATCCCCTGAATGCTATCATCTATTTAGTATAAAATAGTGACTTATTGTTAAGAACTATTTAGTTTCTATTTCACGGATTAAATAAAATTGCTCTATCAAAAATGTGTTCTTTCTGAGAGTTTCTTTCGGCTGCAGCTTATCTTCTTTAGCGTGGCGACGCGACCATACCAGRAAAATGCTTCATGATGTTTGACCAGGAATTGACTGACGTCAAACAAATAAAGTTCTACACCAAGCACCGGTTAAAATAATGCCATCGGTTTTGATCGACAGCAAAGCCATTGTTTAGGCTGTTTTCTTTTATATTTATTTATTTTTTWTGCTATTTATCGCGGTGCATCATTTAGGCATTCTTTACAAGCTCCTATCTTGCTTCTCTTGCTTACTACTTACTGGATTAGATATTGTGATCATAGGTGGTATACAGCAATATACGGAAATTATGATCTTTTTTTTGCTCGCATTTCAAGTATACACCTAATTACGAAAAAGTTGTCCTGAGATGTACAGGGACCGCGGAGCGTGAATTTGTTTTGGGGGGCTAGCGGCGACKAGGTAMTAGGGAGGTTCGGAAATTTTTGACATTTTAACTCTCGGAAATGTCATTTCCAGCGTTTTGAGGCGTTATCCAAGACATTTTTACCGCACACACGGTCAGCGATATTATCAATAAAATCCCAAAGACTTGAATTTTAATTGTTCATTTTACACAATTTTTATAGAATGTATATGGTGAAATTTCATAAGGAAACTCTTCTTTATTTAAGAAAATTCAAGATGTCGGAAAAATTATTGGGGAGGATGTAGCCCCCCAGCCCCCCCTGCTGCGCGGCCCATGAATTGTAGGGATATAGAAAATTAGGAATACATTAAAACTGTTAAAAGACAAAGCATGATAACTTAAGCCGAAAACTTCTTTTGTTTTTTAATTAATTCCTAAATAGTAAATGAGTTCTTTTTTCTTGGACAACGTTTGTGTAATTAGGTGTATATAAAATATATCAGAAATTATGGGATACCATCACCAATATTCTTTTCAGAAAGTACTAGCTAGTAGAGTACAAACACTAAAACTGTGCAATATAAACTTGGATTATGAGTCAAAATGATCATAATTTCTGCATAYTGCTGTAGTCAAAAGCTAAAAAAATATATAAGAGACCTTTTCAATCAATTAATTGGAATACAGAAAGAAGGAAAAAAAATAAGAGAAATTGAGAAACTAGAAAATCACAAAGCATTTACGGCAAGTCGTGTATTACTTAGTGACTATATATTACTTCAACATCAAAGTGAAAGCAGATTAAAGCAACAAATAAAGCGAAAAGAGTCCCTTTTTCGGTGTTGCATAGGAAAGGAAAAAAAATTGAAAATTTTTTGGGGACAATTTCTTGTCCTTGATTAACACAAAATATAACAAGCAAAGTAGTAAGTGTCAGYACTGATGTGAATATTTGCGATTCTTTGGATTTTAGGAAATCAGRACTACGAAATAACTTACCCTGAAAGATTGCATCAACGTCGCCTTAAACGCGATCTTTCTACTGACACAGAGGTAAGAATTAGCAACATTGATAACAATACATGCATCAGTTCTTTCGGAGAACAATGCGTCCGCCATCTTGAAAAGTGAGACCGGATTCACTATGCATGTTGTGCCTCAGAACAYATTTCGTAGTTGCTAAGTCAACTAATCTATCATTATATCGTATTATAATAACTTTACATTAGCTGAGAAGTTTTTAAATCCTTTAGGAGTTATAATTTAATTATTCGAGTCCCACTTTTCAAGATGGCGCACGCATTGTTCTCCGAAAGTACTGATGCATGTATACCGGTGAAGATGCTTGAGGACAAGCGACGGTGCCAGGAAAACAATAAAGCTATTCCCGCCATGTTGGATGAATGAAAATACAAGCTTTGCTTCACTATTTTCATCGTGAAGGCTATGATGCATCATGCGCACCAAGAATATTATTTTTGTATACTTTTTGTAGTGTATAAAGAACGAAAGAGTGTGTTTTATCGGGTGATAAAGATCCGAGCCGAAGGCGAGGTCTTTAGTCCCGATGAAATACACTTTTGAGTTCTTTATACTACTTCTAGAACTTTAACATCCAGAAATCGTTATCAATTTAGAAAAAAAGCTAAAAAATGCGAAAACTAAAATGAAAAGAGAAAAAAAATTGTCCAATAACATGCTGATAATCGACTCTCAATGTAAATTCCATGACAACCAATCTTTGCGTCTATTCGTGGAGATTGTTAGGGGTTTGTGAAACGCATCTATGTTTAATTCTAATTTCAGGAAGGACATGAAGATTCAGCGACTTTTACTTTGAATGCTTTCAAGAAAAGTTGGATTCTGGATGCAAATCGTAACAAGTGAGTTTTTTATAAAGTTAATAAAATCATCTTTACTAAATCAATTGGTAAATGCGYGGATGGAAAGCCGGATAGATGGACTGAAATCTGGATTCAAAGAACGTTGATTGATAAACTCATGGGTTGATAGACTGTTAAATTCATCCATTGATTTTTTTCAGGCAATTGATTCCAAACACGTTTGTAGCACGACAATTTGATTCTGATGATAGTRAAATCATATCGAGAGTAAGTGGATATATCAAACGTTAAGGCTGAAAGSTTTGGTCAGTGAAATGTCACCGAATACTTGGTGGAGTAGACTGGACTTCCTACAATTAGATATGATAGGGGTTGAAATAATTTTTTGGTAAAATGTGTTTTGCGGCATCCGTCTTTCAACAGCAGCTTCATTTCCTAAGCATGAATTCAAGCAAGAAAAAAAGCAATCGACATACAAATCTGAAAAGTCACGTCTAATTTTTTTTTATAATCACTTTTTAAGTTATGGAATTTCTTTCTTGCTAAATATCTATCTTGCCTATATATTTCAGGAAGCTCCGAAAGGCTGTCATTACCAAGGTTCTATTCGTGGCAATCCAGACTCTGTGGTTGTTTTGAACACATGCAGTGGACTAACGTGAGYTCAACCTTTTCATTCATCTAATAGCTAGATAGAGATGAATCATAGGGCGTTTCACATTTGTCACTAGCTGGCGAATCCCCGAGGTCAAAACCAAAGAGCCRAATTCCACTTTTAATAATTCATTTCTAGTCAGACCAATCAATTTCTAAAATTCATTCAAACTTGGGAACAAAAATATTTTTCATTACTCTTGGGCTCTTCTACCACATGCAGCTTTTGTTAGTTGATTGTAATTGTCTTTTCAGGGGAATAATCGATGACGGAACAGAAAGCTACAACATTGAACCTCACGATGACTATCAGGTATGGGAGACAATTTTCCATTAATGGCTTTGCTGGTCTCGTTTAATTTTCTAATATTGCAGAATAGGAATATCACAACATCATCTCAGCGAGRTCGAAAATTAATTTTTCCGAATTTATTCCTAAGGGTCTTTCTCCCGTAATTGCCTCCTTCTAAGCACTATAACTTTCTTTCATTTGTATTTCTAAAATATTTAGGATACTACGCGCGCTGTGATTGGTCGAAAACCRTGTTTGATTACAGTATCAAAACACGCTCGCGAGAGAAAAATTTCTATTTTTCTTTTAATTTAACTTGGGATGTAGGGAGAGCACTCGAAAAGCTGGAAACCACTCCGCTACGCGTCGTGGTTTCCTACGCTTCTCTCGTGCTCTCCCTACATCCCGCGTGTTTTGATCAGAGTATCAAACACGGAATTTCGTCTTTTATTCCTTAAATCAAACACGGAATTTCGTCTTTTATTCCTTAAATCATATATCACAACATTGACTGAATTAATAAAAAGGCATCCACACTTTGGATTATCTCTTAACTAGAAGGGGCACGGCAGTATCGTAAATGTGACTAAAATTATTAAAATTATCGGCTCTTATTCAAGATATGTTTATGACAACAATAGCAGTCATAGAGGTCTCAACTAACAGTCGAGAAAATAATGTCAACAAAATGAATATTTATCTGTCTAAATTACACACCAGAATAAACCACTAAATATCAATGCCATACACAGCTATACCAACTATAGAAAATAAAAACAACAKTATTTTGTACCACTGCTTGAATTAACTTGTATTTGGAATCAGGAAACTGGTGCACACAGAATTTATGCCACAAAAGATGATGAGCAGTTTGATTCCCATAAGCACTGCGGTAATGTATCAATATTTTTAGTGTAACGATGATCTAACTCGCTAATTGCTATTTTAAAAACTAAAARCGAAGMTAAAGTAGCTCTTTAATTTGCATGCAATTTTTTTGCAGTTAATCTTGTTTTGTTTACGTATTTCTCTTGTTCTTCTTAGTTTTAAATGAGGCTGTAAGTTGTAGTACTTTTGAGTCATTCTTAGGGTTCCCAAACATCAAATTGTTTTATAGGGACACAGGATGGTGAGCAATCCTTTGACTCTAACGCCAAAGAGTCAAAGATAAAAAAGACAATCAAGAGGGTAAGCATCAGCGATATCTAAATATAATAATCATCATTTTATCAGTACCAACAGTATCTTGGTTTGATTGACAGTTACGTCGTAATCTTGGTCATGTGGTGAACATGGAAGAGGTTTATCGGCCATACCTGACAACAGATGAGACCCGCTATAACGAAGTGCTGTTTGTGGTTGACAACGGTGTGGTAAGACKGGATTCCTYTTTCTTTTGATTTCTTTCTTTCCTTCTTCCTTTTTCCTCTTTCATCTTCACCKTCCTGTCTTTTTGATTGTTGAATTTCTTTGTTACTAAGAAATTCATATGCTCACTGGGGKTTATTATAAAACGAGTTACTTCTTATTAGTAAAAACATATCATTTTCTTCAAAATCGTGCGAGTGCTTTTTCAAACGACAGATTGCTTAGTTCAGAGGTTTTTTTCTGTCAACATTTGAAAATGTGCATTTTGATTTAAAAGTTAATTTTCTCATAAATGTTTTCACATTGTTTCAGTACCAGCGATATGGCAATGACTCAAAGACTGTAACAGAGAAAGTTGCTATCTTGTGCAATGCAGTTGACGCAGTAAGTTTCCAGAACTTTTTCTGTGTAAATGCTTTCTTGCCTCTCATTTGGTAGAATTTGACCATGTGGTACTAATAATTTAGTTATTTGAATTACGCTGTCAAACTAACTGATCAGCAAACATAYAGATTKTGTTCTAGGAGACCGTTTCTTTTTAGTATTTCTGTCCGTATTTYTTAAMCACGTGAACGAGGTGCGGATACTCGATCGCATTTGAAAATTCCACAAAKAGGCGTGCGAGGATTTTAAAAAGGTTTATTAACGTACTTTCSTCCTTATCCGGATTCCCATATTGCTGCCATATATGTGGGTTGATCTTCCAACTGGATWATCTTGTTTCYTTAATAGGTGTATCAAAGAATYAATGTACGAATTGTCTTTTCTGCCATTGAAATCTGGTCAAATGGCGACCGAATGGAACGCAAAGCCACCGGTGGTGCAGAGCTTGGCGAATTTGGAAGCTACCGTAAAAAAAACCTGATTGGRAAAATCCCTCACGATAATGCTCATTTCCTTAGTCATCATGGTTGGGGGAATGTAGCCGGGATGGCCTGGGTTGGAACAATGTGTGGTTCGCTTTCAGCCGCTGTCAATACGGTATTGTAATCTTTATTTAACTAAAGTCAGAATGATCGGCGGTTAAATGAATAGCTGATTTACGTAAATCGGGAGATGCACGTTAGGTGTTTAGCAGCTGAATATGTTGAAAGAATATTCCTTTTTCTATTTCCCAGCGGATTACCACTTTTTTGGGAGCAGATCCCCTTTGCGCAAAGGCCCAAAACGTTGTCCAATATTCCCAAATTGCTCTTTAGTTGAACTTAAACTCGGATTATATGGGTCTATTACTATGACACCATTTTTTTCATGGTTGCTCTTGTTTCTGGTAAAGCTTCTGCATAAGGAAATATGTTGCCAAATAAAACAGAGATTAAGACCAACAAGGAGTTGTAACCAATCAAGTGCAGTGTTATATGCGGGCGCGTTGTGATTGGTTGTCTAAAAATAGATTTCCAGCACATGCGATGTCTCCGATATTATAACCGAAATGGACAGTTTTAATCGTTATGGACTTATGATGGAAATATTTTAGATAAGTTGATGTATAGATAGATGAGGCAGAAAGATAATATAGACGGTATGATTATTTGACTGGACTGACGTGTATTTGCAAAAGTTCCTTGATTTGCTGGAAATGGTATTATAGATGTATTACATGACTGTATTATTGTTTTTATTTTCATTCACTCTGTAGTGGTCATTTGGAGGAATAAYAGGTCCTTTGGTAGTAGTTGCTCATGAAATGGGTCATAACTTTGGCTATAACCATAACACAGGTTTGTTTCACTTTATTCTTAAGTCTATTTATATAAACGAAATTCCGATCTAAAATTAGACATAAAGCACCAATCGGSGTTTTCTTCGGCATAACCATTCTTTTATTATTTGTTTGGTTAACTAATTTTTATCACGAAATATCGGATTTTACAAAGACATTTTATTTTAGCATCTACTGATACAGTCACAGTTTGTGTTATATTTTCTTCATGGTTGAGCAGTGACATAATTATGGATTGATGCATGTCAAAACAATACTTTGAGTTTCATGATCTCTTTTACACTGCATCAGCCTCAATTGTATGTAGCATATGACGAAATTTAGATAAAATTCGTGAGAACTCAAAATATTKTCATTGTCTTCTGCACGGCAGAAATCTCTTGTATTTGCACAGGCTGTTCCTGAATAAAAAAGAATATATTGCGTGGTTTTGATGCTAACAMAGTGTAAAAGAGATCACTAAAAGGCTTTTTTCGTTCATTCTAGATCAGTGCAAGTGCTTGACTCGCAAAGGATGCTTTATGGGAGGCCACAAGTATGTATGGGAATTCCTTGTGAGGTTTTATCGCTAATATACCATAATCCTTTTYAAGTTTACTAATGCAGTTAACGATAAGATATTGATCAAAACTTCTGCTTTAAATAATGCTCATCCAAAGGGTTTTAGGTTGTATACAATTCAGTCATGACTCTATCTATGTTTTGCGAGTCGTTCAGCTGTCTTGTTCTTGTTTTGCTATTTGTAWAATGAACTTCTATATTTTTAACATGAACTACTATAGTTCGTTTTACGTTGCTGTATATTGTTATTCCATTTGACGACGTTAACAATAACCGTTGTTTTGTTTAGTACTATTCRTTTATCTTGATATTTTTGTTTTCTTGACCATCACAATGGGCGACACTAATTAGCATATTATTGTTAAATTCATAATGTTGACAAAAGCAAACACTCAGATGATAGATATCAAAGCTAAAGATAAGCTCAGAAAGTTTCCAAGAGAAATATTAAATCCTTTCGAAGTTATAAGGGTTGGAAGATGCACAAAAACAACAAAACGAGGTCACCAAGGCCTTAGTAAATAATTTAACAAATCCTTRTATTTTCATTCCTCCATAACTTTGTTAGTATATTTAGTCTATTTCTTCAAAATTTTGCACAATTACTTATTTCTGATGGTTCTTCAATATGACAGTGCTGAATGTTTCCTTAATACGACAATCATATAAAATCGATAGTAAGCACTTGTGAAAGTGGTTAATGGCTTTCACAAATTACATTTTTTCCCCCAGAACTCGTGTCCCTGGATTCTCTGACTGCAACTTGAACAGTATGAAGAAAATTAATGACAAATGCCTGTACAATGTGCCAACACAGGTAYAGTAGTAGAAAAACATGTCTCTTGATGCTTATTGCCTGCCTTTGCTTCAATTCTACATTATTCTCTAGGCTCTCAATGCTCGATGTGGAAAYGGTATCAGAGAAGGAGACGAGGAATGTGACTGTGGCACACCTGAGGCAAGTAACTCTCGTGTCTTTGTTGTTGAGAAGGCCAAGTTGTCTAAAGATAGCATGTATTTAAATGCAGAACAGCTGCAGATTTTATGCACAATTTGATATTCATGTTTAATAAATTGCGCACGGTTTTGAGTTGTATGTCCTCTTATTGACACACTCTTGACGTCATAAAATGTTCAAAACTCAAGTGAACCCACAATCAAAGCAAATATTTTTAATGACAATTTTAATCTAAAAATAAGCGAAAATCATTCTTTTCTTTTAAATGAGCGCGCACGAGACGTCAGCACAGTGTGCATACCCTCTTATTGACACACTCTAATTAGCCAATCAGCGCGCAAGAATTTACACAAATATGGTAAAAATACTTTTTCTGACTAAAAGATCAAAATAAAATTATATTTATAGGATATTGCATTGGCGCGCGGAGACACGGTTTGTCTTCGGATTGTTTTACTCTTAAAAGTTAACGTAGCAAACTACAAAGATTTTTAACACGAGCTTGAAGATGAAATTCATATAAAAAACGACCATGTAAAATATGTTGTTTGTCATAGATTAAATCGCGGATRTTCCATGGGCGCGCAGAGATACGGATTTCATCTTCGAGTGTTGAAAATATATCTTGCACATGTGAGCGTATACGATGAGGTTTCTAAGTAGCAGTCGATATGATTTGATTTAAATTTCAGATGTGTAAAAAGAAAGATCCGTGTTGCCAGCCTCATAACTGTCAGCTCAAACCCTCGGCTATGTGTAGCGATTCACATCATTCATGCTGCAAAGATTGTCAGGTGAGATATCTGCATTATATTTTCTATTGGCATGTATTTTATATTACGTTCTAGTAATCTTATTGACAGGCAAGTCAAAAGATACAATTCAATTGTCTCATGCCTTTTTCATTGAATTTGTTTGAACCCTTTTTATGGCAAACAGCATCTGAAATCTTCATATGCAAAGATATTTAAAGCACGGTTGTGACTTATTCTTTTCTCTATAACTATTGTCATGTTCTTTTCGTAGTACAAAAAGCAGGGCTCACTTTGCAGAGCAGTGAAGACTGACTGCGACGTTCCTGAATACTGTCCTGGAGACTCAAGAGATGTGAGTGTTGCATTCTGAAAGCATCTAATTACTTTAATTTACTTTTAATTCATTGAGTTCTCAGTTGTTTYCATTAAAAAGTATTAAGAAAGAGACGATGAAATGCATCAGGAAAGCAAATAGATTTTTATATTATCATTCTGAGATTAAAATCACTCAGGGGATGGTGGTACAAAAAAGTGGCTTGCCTCTAATATGCACGGCCTCTTTTAAAGATCTTTATCCAGTGAATAAACTCCGTACAAAATCKATGGAGTGGATAACAGGATCCACTACAGGGCCGTAGAACTATGTTTTGTTTCAATATAGCTTCAAATTTGAAACTTTTGTGATCAAAGCAGTAATATTCATTGCGGCCTAAAAAAAGCTAATTCCCATTTTGTCGTCTGCATTGACTAATTAAAGTCATTATTCCCTTTCGACCTACTTTCTTGTTAAAATGTTTTTGAAAGTGATCTTGGGTCCTGCTATCGTTTCAGTGYCCTGCTGATTCAGTCATTTTGGATGGAACACCATGCAACAGAACTAATAAGGTTTGATTAAGAAATGTCTTTTCACTGTTTTCACAAATAAATAGTGTATTGTTTTTTTTCCCTTCTCTATATGTGCCTTTCCACACACACATATATATTTTTTTGCGACTTGTTCTTACAAGCTCCAGGTCTTCTTGCAAGTCCATGTACTTACTTAGGAATCAATGCGTAAAGCCCTGGCCAAGCTAGAAAATGAAGTCATCAACAAATTGCTGAACAACCCATTATTGTTGGATGATCAAACTTGAATGTTCGACGGACTTTCACTGAACCCATTTAACATGTTTGACGCTCCATCCTCGAGCAGCATTAAACAACGTTTCCAAATGGAAAAGGTTGCGTCACACAATTATCTGATATGGTTTTCGATAACTTAACATTTGATTTGCCGTGACATTCGGTCACCTTATTCAACGCTGCAAGATGCAGCATCACGATGGGTGGATTTTGAAGTCCGTCAAACATTCCATCGAAAATCTGAACTCAACATTTATATATATATAAATGTATATATTCTCTGTTTTGATGTGCTATGTTTGAACCCGTCCGGTCAAAAGAAGAATTTGATTCATAGTCTAACAATGATGAAGTGTCCAAAAAAGGGTTGATTGTGTTTGGCTAGGGTTTGATTTAACGTGCAATGAACCCTTAAAATAGTAATCGGTGTATTTTTCATCAAGTGTTCACGCGCTTTGATCACACCATTGATCATTGATTGCAACCGTCATTACATCTTAACAATTAYAATTTTTATTGATACAGTTGATAATAGCAAAYACAAACCGCGGGTCCGTTGTTAAAAATACGTTGTCTCCTCGCATTGAGGCCCGATATGTACGTATCAACCCTCAATATTGGAATGGGTGGAATTGTTTGAGAACTGAGTTTCTTGGATGCTCTGCTGATAAAGGTAAGGCTTTAAATAGAGGAGAACTTTCTGCTGTATCGTATTTTGATTGCCTTAATACTGAAGAACAACACATTTTGTTAACATCAGTTTTGCGTGAATATACAAATTACTCAAAAATGTTGAGCACGTGAATTAAATACTCAAAAAACATTAATATATTGTCGTCAGGAGGGGCGGATCCAGGAWTTTTTTAAGGGGGAAGGGGGGACACTAAAATGGCGCGAACTTTTGGCGGGAAATTTGCATGACGGATTAGTTTGCACAACGTATCAAATAGAAATTTTCCACTAAAATAAGCGAATTAATTAGGAAACTAGCTAATTCACTTGTTATTTTTCATTTTAGAAGATTTATTTGTTAAAAAAAACATGTACAAGAATTTAATTTTTCTCAAAAAGGGTAGGGGAGCCCCTTCCTTAAAAGCGCCACTGACTCAGTGTCTTTTTTTCTTTTGTTGCAGTGAATCCAACAATGCCAACACCATTAAAAGCATACAATGATTTTTGCATCGTACCAAAGAATGAAACATGTAAGCCTAGTGAGAACAGCAGGATTGTATTTAAGTCCGGTTATGAATGTAAGGAAAACTACATGGAATTCAAACTGGACTCCAATGGAATCTTATGGCATGAATGCAGTCAACATCGTGTTTGTCCAGAAAATGGAGGCACATGGAATGGCGTAAAACTGGTWATCAGTAGCAGCTGTAAAGACGAAGACTCAAAGTTCGTCAGAACATCAAGTAAGAGATATTGCTGAAAACTTCCTACTTTTTGACACAATTATTGATCTATCCTGCGAGTAGAACCTYCCAAAATCCCTGAGRAAAACCAGGATCGGACACGTGTACTGTAGCGATTTGTCCAGTTGTTAGTTGTCGGCAGTCACATCGTGTTTTGCTRTGAAAAGAAATAGGTGTAAGGTATTATATACATTCAAAATTGCTAGAAATTGAAAGGAAAATGCTGATAGAATTTTAGAACAATACCATGAACAGTTGACCGTACGGTTTTTCTATCTATACATAGAAACTATCAAAACTATAAGAACTATAGGGGAGCAAGGATGGCCGAGCGGTTAAAACGCCGGTCTATCACCGCTGTGGTCCTGGTTAGATTCCCGGTCCGGGACTATATGTGATTTGAGTTTGTAGGCTGGTTCTCTTCCTTGCTCCGAGGGTTTTCCTCCCTCAGTCAAAAACTAGCTGTGAGGAGTGTCGTGTAGTAGAATAATGAATGTTGAGGTACTGAGTATGAGTGAATATATAGAGGGCCACAAGTTTATTAGTCTAGAGACTATTACGTGCTACCCTCTCAAAATAAAAGACTTTACTTTTTTTTACTTTACTTTAGAAACCCCGCATTTGTAGTTTCTTCAATACTTCTCATTACTTAAATAAGCAAATTGTTTCAAATTGTCATTTTTCAGAGCATTCCCTTAAACACGTTAAGAGCGGAAAGTGCGTCCATCCTAGTGGAGGTTGGCCTGGTAATGGTAGAGAATTGGTATTATGGGGCGGATGTGATATAACAAGACTAGAGATAAACTTTATAAAGCCTGGTAATGATGTTTCTATGTTTTTTAATAATAATTTTTTGCAGTCATGAAAATAATTTTTGTTGTTCAAAAATATTTAAACGACAGTTAAACCATGATCTCCCATTATGAATCTTTCACTTTTTATTCATTGACGGGTATGTGCACATTGATTGTACATCATATTTCTTTAATAGACTGCATTAAAAAATGCTTTTGAAGCATTAACATTATTTTTACAATGGAAGTAGAAAATATATTTACAACAAGATTTTTCATTRTTAGACTGCATGGTTCCTCTTGGAATCAGAAGTGGAGCAATTCCTGACAAACAGATGACAGCATCTTCAACGAGAGGAAACGATTTGCCTAGTAATGCTAGACTACACAGCAGCAAGTACTGGTGCGCAGCCGAGAAGAAGAAAACGGAATACTTGCAGATTGACTTAGGAACGGTATAAGCTCACAGAATTTTTTAAAAGTTRCTCAACTTTTCATCTTGAATCAGAGTCTGATCGTGCAATTATAGATGCCTGTGAATGATTGTTCTGTAGGGACCAAATTGGTAATATTATTGCAAGGTCCATGCAATCCTGTTCACACAAAAAAATAGGCTTTAGACCAACTGTGAACGGAACTTTTACATAGAGTTAACATACAAAATAWCAGCACTTTTGCAGTAAAACAAAATTATAAGTTGACGTTTCAGTGCTTTTGGGAGCTTTCGTAAACTATATGTTTTTTATATGTTTTAATTTTCAGAGCGAGAAATTTTACAAATATTACAACATTTTTAACTTAGTGAACCTACAATTAACATAAATAGCTGTCKTCCATATTTTCAGTTTTATAATTTGCTTTAGTGCTCGTCKCMATTGTCAGTCCCCTAAGTTCCTATTGAATCTTTATGTTTAGACCCARACAATCGCCCATATTCTCATCCAGGGACGTGGRAACTGGTACGATTGGGTTACTGGTTATCATCTATTGTACAGTCAAGATGGTGTCCGTTGGACTGGTTACACAGAGAGTGGAGATGYGTTGCATTCAAACGTAATYATTSTCATTTTACGACAAAACCTGCGTTACTTGCTTCAATGTCTTATAAACAACAACARCAAAAAAGAATTATTCGACTKCCATGGAATCCTTTGTTCTGGAATAACTATTTTGCATGAGCAAYATTTTGATTTAGCCAGACATCATAGAAAGATCGCACTTAMACYATGCAACTGTGTAAAATCTAAGTAGTWCTAATTTGTGGACCTGAAGTAAGACCGTGTTGAACGCTTCATTTTATCATTTGAATTTAATTTTCGTACCGCATGCACGATTTACTAAATACAACTAAAAAGCACTATTTAGTTTGCACAGTTGCACGGTTCGAGACATTTTATCTTCAAATTATTTATATTTTAACATCTTTTAAGTTGCTAGAATGTTGTCTWCACTAGTACATTCAAATGTATACTCTTTCTGTACGCGCAATCCAAAGTTAACGTTCCACGCGCGCGCACTTYACTGAACTAATTACCGCCAAATAAGATTTAGTCTTAGACTCAAGGCACTTGCCCATATTCTGCGTACCAGWCATGCGCAATCTATTTGGCTGCGCTAGAATGAAGAACAGGTATCTGGTAGAAGCCAAAGCTATATCACCTTTTCCTTTCTTGACTTTGACAGTCTTACTGTTATCTTGGGAAGTGTGCCGAGACACCAGATACACAATGCAGAGATCTTTGGGGAGCAGGTATTGAATTATCGTAGAAAATAATGTGTACGACTTTTTTTGCATTGGATGCGGTCTTATAACGGTACAAGAAGGTATCAAACACTGACAGAAAATACTGAAGCAACAGGAAAAATAGTTTATTTAACAAATAAATAAGGCTCAGTCGTGGTTTATACTCTCATAAGCCACAATTTTTTGGCCAATCAGAGAGCGCGTTAGAATTCATCTATATAATAAACAATAGAATAGACATTGTGAACTCAGTTTTGTAATGGTCCAGTAATGTTGTTTTTACTCTTATCTGTAAGACAATGACCTTTCAATTGATGAAATATTTCTTCATTCACAATTTAGAAACCAATGATGCAGCGCAAGGTTGTTATGATAAGCTGAACACAGAGGCCAAAGGATATGGAACGTGTGACCCATTCTCTAATTCATCTTGTGCCGCAGCGTGAGTAGCTTTCACTTAATTGAAGCTGTCAGGCCATGGTCAAATACTGGACTTAATTCATCGAACTTCATTCACCTTAGTTTTCTTCAAACCTCTATTTCAAACCTCTATTTTACAAAGCTTTCAAGTATAGTTAAAAACACGAGAGAGTGTGTTTTAAACGGCTTCAAAAACTCCAACACTAATTGGAAACTCAAATCCGTTAAAATTCTTGGAGAAATTGCCGTAAAAACAAATTTCGAGATAAATGAGGCAAACTGATCATGCGCGAATCACTGTACAAAGCACTATTTTTATCCCACATTAAATACGCATAAAGTTGCGCTGTTGGCTGTTTACTGAGATAGGTTGACATCCTGCATTGGTCAATGATCAGGTATACAACCTGAGACCTTTTCTAGGATCATGGACCTTTATACCTGATAAAGGTCACCCTTATTAGTATTCTTTATATAAAGAATACTAATAAGGAGTGTTTTATCAGATATAAAGGTCCATGCATGTGACCAAAAAGGCTCATTCTATTGGCCTAGTAGCTCATTAATTATGTATGAGTTTTTGCGGAAGAGCTTATAAAAGCAAGAAGTCAAATAGTAGTTTATGATGAAAGGTTTACATTTTCAGCAATACAATGCCACAGCTATAGATTTGAGAGAATTGGAAATTATTAAATGTTGCAATTTTAGTACAAGAGAAGTACGGCAATGTGTCGCTCATAATGCAAATGAGATCAAAATTTGACCAGCGCTAATTTTAAACTTAACCCTGTTCATTTATTTAAGGATTGGGTATTAAGCATGCCAACCTAATGAATGGGTAAATTATCAATGTAATTTTGTATACCCTTGTGATTCCCTTCGATGAATTGCTCTTTCAAAGTTTTTATTTTCATCAATTCTATCAACTACAGAGACGTGAGATGCGGGCAAATTCAGTGTCTGTCAAAAAGAAGCACACCTCTGGTCAATTATGGTAAAAGCTACACGAAAATTTCAACGGACTCTTTGCAGTGCAGGTGGGCGATGGCAAAATACATCCACATAAACTGATTCAACTATTTTAATAAAAATCATGCAACATTCGGTTGCAAAATTCCTCGGTGAAGTTTCTCCAGCATGTTTTAATGGCCACATTTTAAAGTTTCCAATATAATCTTGCTTGTTAGCGCTGCAGTTCTCGAAAATACTGATTCGGTTGGCTCTGGGATGGTAAAAGATGGAACAAAATGCGGCAGCAATAAGGTAGAGTCTCAGTTAAATAAGAAATTATGTGTTCACCTAATTGAAATGTAAACTYTTCATGATCAGTATTGCTTTTTTGTAACCTTTTCATTTTAACTCAATACACTTTATAATCTTATACTCAGATGTGCAAAAACTTCCGATGCAAGTCATTCACCGACCTAAACATCAAGGCGTGTCCACTTGTCAATCAAAAGACATGTAATGGCCAAGGAGTGAGTTTTTCTAATACTTTTTACTGTTGAATATGTACGYACTTATTGTAGTTTTTGGTTTTGAAGCATTGGGACTGACATATAAATCTTAGCTGTCTTTTTACAATTTATTTGTAATTAATCYCTAAATATCTGATTTTCGAACGAAAGCTACCTTTTAATTCAAACCCTACTAAGAAAGGGCATATAAAACCATTTACTAAAGAAAAATTCTCTTGTCTCGTTTACAGTATTGCATAAGTAAAGGCGTATGTCAATGTTTTGAGCACTATGATCCCAAAACAGGCTGTGAAAAAGGTAATTAGTTTTGAAATTAAAATTTTCCTGTTTTGTAAAATGAGAGCTATATTATCTAAGTCTTCATTACTGTCATCATGCCATTGAAAATGCGCTGCTTTCAGTCTGTAACATTAACACATGAATTGTTGTATGGATTTTGCATTTTTGATTTTGCATTAATATTATCCATCATTGTTGCGTTTTCTTTCACTTATATTATTCAAATAATAGACTTTTCTACCAAAACGTGTAAGCCGTCGGCCGGCATCTTGAATTCTGTTGTTCTAAGYATCGATTCAGTAAGAATACGGGGATGTTCAAGGGATCCTCAGGGRCACTAAACAAGAAATTCATAGACAATAGGGCTAAAAGAATGCTATGAGATTGAATACCATATCTTAAAACGCAAAAAAAAACAACAACAACAACAAAAAACACCTAACACATTTGGATGCTATGAAACAATAGTTTAAATTTTGAAGCACAGAAAGTGTCAGAAAAAGTACTTTTTGATATCTTTCTATGTTAGAATTTGTGCTTCTGYATCCTGTTTATCCCACGATTTTTCCAACATTCAAGATGGCGGCTGTATTAGYATAAAAGTCTATTYACATCAAGTCTTTTCCCTATAGCTCTACCTGCTCAGGACGGTGGSTTTAGTAAATGGTCTCAGTGGTCTATCTGTTCTGCTGGCTGTAATGGTGGTAAACAAACTCGTCATCGATTTTGTAACAACCCGTATCCAAAGTATGGTGGGAAAGACTGTGATGGAAAGCTGCAAGAAGAACAGGATTGCAACAAAGACGCTTGTCCAAGTACGATTCTACTACGCTCTTTACTTGCAACGATGGAAGAAACTATTTATTTATTTACAGTAAAAAAACACGTAAAACTACGTAGAAATCAGATAAGCACGAAGTTTGAAACCAGTATGAAAATGAACACGGAACCGTCATACATATCTTTTGTTCTAAAATCAGGAACCATTCGATTTGCTCTTTGGAAATTTGATATTTATCCGTAATATCTTTACGCTTTTACGGTTATACGTCATTAATAATCACTAAGTTATGTCCTACCCCAAGCGACATAACCTGGGTTACTGAATAAAATTTAAATACCCAAGAAACTTATCAGAAATTTCTTTACTTTTAGAGGCTCATTCTTGTCGACACCTACAGTCGATTGCTAACGCCAACAACAAACTCCTCCCCGACGGCATATACGATATCTACCCTCAAGGTGTTTCCAGTGCTCCAGTCAAGGCTTACTGTGACTTAACACGCGATGGTGGCGGATGGACACTATTGGTTACCAGTCATACCAATACGTGGACCAAAGATAATGTTGAACTAAGAAATGCTGACAAACCAAGTTTAACTAGCGACTACTCAATATTGAAACATGCTGATCTCATCAAGGATCACTTGAACGTTATTGGTGGAAAATTTGARTATCGGTTAGAGGCACAAAAGCCAGGTAATATGTGTCACTTTTTAATGATCAAGAAAGTTTTTTGTTATCTAGAGACAGAAACCGCGGTGCGAGTACAGGTAATGATAACTACTGGTTTTTCAAATCATGAGTATTATTCAGCAGCTTATATATMAAATATTATTTGTGATGATTGTAATTACTATTGTGAAAATGCTTGGTTTGGTCAACAGATCGTTGGGGAGGGATTTGGAAGGCAGATCGTTCTTTCACCTTCACAGCAAAAAACAATGGACAAACCAATGTTWATCTTCTAAAGAAATTCGATAACTGGAAGTACAGCGACAATGGCATCGAAAAAAGAATGCCTTGGATTTCAGAAGCAAAGCTTACAACATCCGCAAGTGCAAGCCAGAGATGGTGGGGGTCAATTACAGGTAGGCATACTGTGAAAGATCCATCCAGGGATTGTTTTGTTCAAAAAGTTTGCTTTCCTTTTATTTCTGGACTTTGGACACACCATAAGAAAAGTACGTCGARTAGTGAAACAGAAGCAAAACTATTAACCAAGAAATAAACCAAAACGCCCAATTTCACTGAACATAAGGAAAGCAGCTCAGTCTAAAACAGCTGAAAAATATATTTTGTTTTCWCATCTTGAATTCTAGGTAATGAAAAGAACTATCACCCTGCGCCGTGGATTTCGGGACATCTCATGGAAAGTCAACCCGAATACATTTGGTACTGGATGCGCGAAGGCCCTTGGAARCTTCCAAGGTCTTGTATGGAAATACAAATGAGAGGACTCCAAACAGCACCCTACAAAGGTACTACATTCTTCTTAAATAGCATATTGACTTGTCAGGGTGTGATAGTATGTGGTCAAAATATTTAAAGAGTTGTAAAATTCAAATATCTTGGACCTAAAGTAACACTAAACAATGTGGTGTCGCAATATTCCATACATCCAGGGGTGGGTTGTTCAAAGATCGATTAACAACCCGACACTGAGCATTTGATATAGGCCAAAGGGAAGGGACAATTCCTATAGATAGAGTACGTGTATTCGGCAGAATCAGCGTGATACAACATGCTTATACTTCTGTTATACTTTGAAACATGCTTGCTGGAATCTCATTAGATTTTTAATGCTTTTGAGAAAACAAAAATTGAATCTAAATTTCAGATGGCATTTACACTATCAAACCTCCTGGAAAACAACCAATCAAGACATACTGTGACCTGACAACTCGTGGTGGTGGATGGACGCTGTTGGTAACAAGTAAAACGGGCTCGGGTTGGACATCTGACAATGTCAAATCTAGAAATTCTGATCAACCATCTCTGAATAACGATTTCTCTATTCTTGGAGTTGCTGATGCAATTAAAGACTTTGATCTATCGCAAGTAAGCTTAGCTGCTTTGAGAAGCATTTGGCATATTGAAAATATTCCACATTAGATTGAGACAAACTTTACAAACTTGGTCAGTATATTCATTTTAATACAAATCGTTAAATTATCTACCTTGAGCATTGAAATTTGATTATATTTACAATATTCATACATAAGTAATATTCACACATTCATAATATTCATATCAATCTTGACCAATGATATTTGTTTCTTAATTTAATTTTTTTTATTAATATATAGGATTTCTTCCAATATCGCATCGAAGCTGATGGCAAAAGCCAATATGGTGGTATCTTTGATGCCCCACAAAAGTACACTTTTACATCAACATGTGACAAACAGACTGACGTTAAACTAGTAGAAAACTTCAACAGCATAAGCACAGGTTCAAATCTGGCTAAACGCATGCCGAGACTTGGGATGTCTTCTTCTATATTCTTAAGCACTGGTTCTACAACTGGAGATGCATCTGGTTCCATTGTCTTTAGCAGAGATTCTACTGATTCTCCTTCATACTTGCCATCAGTAAAACCCAAACCTGGAGTCGTCCGATACTGGATGAGAGAAGGAACAAGGTAGAGATTAATCTTTCACACCATAAAYATTTAACCTGCAGAAATGGCTATTATCAGCACTACACTAAATGGAAAATAAGGATATCATATAGTATGGGACACTTCCCATAAACTGTAGGTCGCAAACAAGAAAATTGAAAACGTTTTTGCTAACCGTGTTCGTTATGTCAATGTTCTTTAAAACACACTTAGTGACTATTTAGTGCACATGACATTTAGAAATTTATTGTCATCCAAAAGAGAAAATGACACTAAGTACATCTGTGAAGAAAGAAATTGATGTTAAATTGTATTTTCTAAGTTTAGCTCTCAACTATTAYTATAATTGACGATTGAGCTCTTCAACCAAGAACAACATAACAAACAATGTAAAAAGTCTGGACCAATTCCTTAAATGACGTCACTTCTGATTTGCATTTGCGATTTTCAAATGTCTATAACTCAGAAAATATAATTCAAAATTCATTTTGTTTTCTTTATAGAAGTGCTTGGTGTCACGTGTTAGTTTGGAGCACAGTGTAATATATGTGAACTTTTACATGAATAAAGACTGTTCGAACTTGAGCGATACACTTTGCAGAGTGTTACCTTTCGGATGAAAGTGATTTTCTAAAAAAAGATTTCATGTGCAATTTAAAATTCCAGTCCAAGCTAGAATAACCTCGTTCCTATGATAAAATAGAACCAATAAATTTACACATAGATTCGAGGCTAAKCCCACTTGCACCGGAATTTTAGACTAACCAATTGYAAAATTTTTCAGACGTTCGTGCTTTGATATCAAAATCCATGGCAGTAGAAGATTGGTATCGTTTGAGGATAACTTCTACATGATTCGACTACTTAATGACTCGAGTTATCTACCAGTCTTCTGCGACATGACTTCAGATGCTGGAGCTTTCACTTTGGTCGTAACCAGTCGCCATAATAGTTGGAGACGAGACCAGGTCCCTGCCAGGTAAAAAGAGTTTAGATTAATGCATGACATCAGACAAACAATTAGGTTACCGAAGTTGACTTTTGTTTGCTACGATAAATGAGTYGAGGGGTTGTGGATAATCTAAAATAGCTTGAAGGCCTATTGTCCATATAATCGTCTGGGTCGTCCTGATCGCTCAAAAACGCGTTTTTGGTTTGTTCTGGTCTTCTGAACGAAAATAACAAAAATGCAAAACGCATTATTTTAGGGTGATTGGGGTGATGATATTAACACTAGCCATAATAATTTGCATTCGCAAGCATGCTTAGCGTACTAATGCACTCCAACGTCATTAAAATGCTCATTGCGTCTTACAAAAATGTTGTAATTGATTGCAGAAACATCTATCAGCCGTCCTTAAATGGGGACTACTCGATCCTTAAGTACGCCGATCTCATTAAAAATTTAGGCCACAATAGCACCTTCAAGTACAAACTTGACGCCAATCAACGGGGACATTGGGGAGGGGTATGGAGTGCTCCACACCAATACAGGTAAGCAATGATTTGTGCGAARGCAAAGCTTCAGGCAAATATAGAATTAATGATTAACTTGTTTTTTTATCAGCTTCATGGCGACATCAAACAGCCAAACCAATGTAAAACTCCTAAAGAAGTTTGATAGCTGGGAAYTTTCATGGTGGAAAAGCGTACAGAACAGAATGCCGTGGTTTGATGCCAAAGGAACAGCCAAAAAAGCTCTGTTGACAACAAGCGGTGGAACAACATATTATCCAGCTGGTTCTATAATTTGGGGAGACGAACAATACAATCCAGCCTATTGGATTCGATATTCCGGTATGCTAAACCCTGGCGTCATTTGGTACTGGGTCAATGAAGATGACTGTGATGCTGACAGAAAACCAGGTGAAAAACGGAACCGCTAGCAAATGAGAATAATACTGTAGAAATTATTGCAATGACATTATTGCTTCTAGCGACAGTGAAAGTAGAAAAAGCAACAACAATACTTTATTTAACTAAATTAAAGAATATAATAAAGAAGGCTCTTCTATRTTTGATGATTTTAATCATCAATATTTAAAAATATTCAGGAAGTGTGAACTAATCTAAGAATACCTCTAATGTGTAAATTAATCKTCAATTTCAAGTTGTGTTCACCTATTTCATTGAGTGTTTAAGAAATGTATGAGAGCGTTCTTGAATTAGGCGAGTTTGAATTTTTATGCACCAAAAATGCATTTTGTAGTGTTTCACAATTTTAATGTAGACTACGCCGTGTTTTGACATTCGTTTGATTTACTATAACTATACAGACGATCCAACTATAATAAATAAATGAAATTACAATAAATATCTAACGAAATATTCGAAAAAACTGAGCGAAATATACTTACATACATGACGTCTTCTACACTTACTAGAACTGAAGAAATTTACATACCGAACTAAACAAAACTAAGAACGAAATACACAAGGGACAGGGCGAACAAAGACGCGTAAAACAGAAACAAAAGAGGCAAAAAACATGATTACAAGGAGCTAATATAAATACATTTTAGACACTATATGACCGCTACACATTTTTACAAACATGTAATTGACTTAAGTGAAAACCTTATTCATATGTCATAAACAAAGCTTTCTTTGAGATTTTTTTTTCAAAACTCAGACCCTCCCTTTTTATAGCATCAAGTTTCGTCGCCTTAAAAAATTCAAATTCGACAAAAAATAGASATGTCATTTGATAATTTTTGTTGTTTTTATTTCAGTTCATGGTGGAATGTCAGAGTGGAGCGCATGGTCAAAATGTGACAAATTGTGTGCCAATGGCAAGCAACGACGTTATAAGACCTGTACAAACCCTGCCCCAAAGTGCGGTGGCAATCCATGTGATGCAACATCGAAGACGTTCGAAGAGAAAGTGTGCAATGTTTGCCCAGGTCAATAAAAATATTGGTTTATTTTCATAATTCTTTTTAATCWTTTGAAAAGATAGAATTCCTGTGCACTGCCCTTCCGGCATGGGTGGCCTAGTGGTTAATCTGCTTGCCTCTCACCGCTGTGGTCCGGGTTCGATTCCCGGGCACGGACCATATGTGAGTTTGAGTTTGTTTGATGTGTTGTTCTCTCCCTTGCCACGAGGGTTTTTCTCCGGGTCCTCCGGTTTTCCTCCCTCAGTAAAAATCAACATGTGAGGAGTGTGRTGTGCTAAAATACTTAATGTAGAGGTAGTGAGTGTGAGAGTACAGGGCCCGCAGTAATTGGCTCACGCTGTTGCGGTGTCCCTGCCCATACTAGGGGCAAAGCTAATAAATTAAAAAAAAAAAAAATAAAATAAAATAAAATAAATAATAAACAAACTACTTTCGAGTGAACGATTTGCATTATGGAGTCATTTACTACAACTACCAGATTGCTTTGCCCACTTTCTTTTGTAATGCAAATAATGCATTATGTATAACAATGAAAATGCTCAAGGGTCACTGGTAGTTGTAGTAAAGTTACGCCATCATGCAAACGGCTTATTGTGCAAAATCAAATAAGAACAAATTTGTACAAAATCTGTAACTGAAGTGAAACATCACAGCGAAGGGAAAAACAACTCACAGATTAAGTATGTTCACTCTAACACATTGTATTTTGAAAGACAGCATTTCACATTGGTTTCTATCTGATGAGGACATTAATGCACAGGCAACGCGTCTTTTACTTCACACTTCAATCAACCTAAAATATATTGTTTTGTCTAATAATTTATAACAAGAACACTAATGCCTTTTCTGTTCTAGCATATTTGTCCAAATATCGAGTCTTCAGAAGTATTAGAACTAATGCTGATAATAACCTGATTACCTTTAACARATTGCGYATGGTTTTGAGTTGTTTTTCCTCTTATTAACACGCCCTTGACGTCATAAAATGTTGAAAGTCAAGTGGACCCACGAACATAGCGAGCACTGGAAAGTAATCAACTAGTATATATTGTCTTATTTTTGTGTGTTTAAATAGAAAGTCCAATCAGATCCTACGGAGATTACTGTGTGCAACCAAAAAGTGGTGACTGTAATCCAATACAAAATAAAACCACGTGGAGTCACGCCCTTATCTTCAAACGCGGTGACAAGAACTGTTCAGCGAACTACATGAACTTTCTTTTTGACTCCGATGGTGTTATCCACCATAAATGTAGCGGAAAGGTTGTTTGTCCGGAAGGTAAGGGTAATGRAAAATTTTACAGCAAAAAATACTCAAAATTACATTTTTTCTATCATGTGTTTTTCTAGAATATTGTAATCTGTGAAACAGAAAGATTTCTTTTTTTAAACCTCCAGCAAGCTAACAACTTTTATCTACTATAGGTAATTATCCTCACTCAGGTAAAAAACTTCTGTTGATGGATGATTGTCCCAAWGACGTTTCCAAACACAAAAGGTAACGATGTCAACAAATTGTGTGCATCATGTATATTTACACTGCTGTAATATACTATGCTGTAACATCCTTTGGCGCTTCAGTTAAGCTAAACTTTTTGACTATTCCATTAGCTTTGATCGTCAAGCGAACACTCCGTGTGCTGCAATCTTGGACATAAATGTTGACAATTTTTACGCACGCACGACATTTTTCACACTATTCGTCGATAAAACCTTCCTCGTGATCCCCCTAATACAATGTTTTGTGGCTTTTTTACATTTGTTGTCAATTCATTAATCCCTGCTTGCAACATTGATGTGGGAGCGAGGGAAGGGGAATATTTTCAGTTGATGCACACGATACGGTATTTGTAATGCACAAACGAAAAACGTTCAAGTATTTATGTCATAGATTGCAGCAGGCCCATAGCAGGGTTAAAAAAAGTGAGGGGGCCCACTTTTCAACGGGCCGAAAATGGTGGTTTGGTTTGATTAACGTAGTTTCAAAATACAAGGAGTAATTGCGACTATAAGCATTTCACTTGTTCAGAGCGCTCCTTCCAAAGACGAAACACATTTAGGAAAACATTATTATAAAAATGTGAAAATTTAAGTGATTCAATCAAGAACGTTTTCATGGTGCCCGCGTTGGCTAATTTAGAAGGACGTAGGGCCAATGCAAGGGAAATAACTACCAACCCAAAACAGAACAACGGGCATTCTGGAGAAAGGACTCTTCTATTATTTTCACCAGTAACGATTGATTCAGGTTAGCGTACCATTGAATTACCAGCGAATCCTTTTACCTTGACTGTACCATTCTTCCAGTTGGTAAATCCCACATGGGTGAATGTAAAATCAAATTTTCCAGACGAAATCAAATTATTCTGCAATGCCATTATTCAAAAGAAAACGAAATGCGGCATCTTTTTCCTCGTCGAAGTGTATCCAGTTAAAACGCTTGAACCAAGATGATTGAAAAGTTCGCTTTCTAGCATTGGTGGCTCCAAAAGACCTGTATGGAAAGTCGAAGCTAGTAGGCTGTTTGGGGTGATCAGATACAAATATATGGCTTGTTGATTTCTCCCTATCTTGTGATTTAGATTGCTCGTTTATACTAGATTCAGAAGAAATATCCTTATCAGAAGTATTAGAAGTACTGGGATTGGTATTTACCATCCAAAAATTGAGTGTTTTTTGCTTTCTTTTTCTTTTGTTCTTTAGACATTTTGTCAATAGTGTTGATAGTTATACAGTCTAACTAACGAGTGATTTAATGACTGGGACCTACATTAATTGAGCATTGAAATGGCTTAATTTCTCACGCTCAAAAATAATTACGACAATCATAAGGAAAATGATGGCGCATTTCTGATGTGTTTTACAATAATTTACCTCAATAATAAAAATAAACTACCTCAATAATTAAAGATTTTTCCTTTTTGGTCTGAATAATTTTACCACTTTGTCTATAGGTATTATTACTTTTTGTCAAAAACGTGGTTTGCTACGGGCCTGTGTAGTTTGTATAAAATAGGGGAAACCGTAACCTGACTTTCAGACAAGCCCATTTCCGACGCTAACAGTTTCCTCCCAAAACTTCCTCTGCTGGACATCACACTTTTTTTCTGATTTTTGACGAACGATCTGCGCGAACTTTTGCATCTAAAAACAAAACGAATAAATTCTCATGAATCACATTCGCAAACAATTTATGCTCGTAGGTGTTGAAAGCATTTTTATTGGAGGTCGCTAAAACAGAGTATAGTGACACTTAAGGACAGTCACACATTTGGAGGGGATGTCCGCCAGACGGAGTTTAGGGAGAATAGTGTTAGCGAAGGACCCAGTTGGGATGTCTGGAAATCAAGGCCTAGTGCAGTGTTCATATAATTGTCCCAATTGGTTCTGAAAAAGGTGACTGAGAACGAGTATGAAAATAGTCCACTTATCGAAAACTGAACCTAACCGTATGAAAGACCATACTACAATTAGTGTTCTTGTCGAGTTTAATCCTATTTAGTTGAATACTCCATACATTGTTTCTTATTTTTTTTTAGATTTTTTAGCGCTTGCCACTCTGTAGATATTTTAAAACATTAATCCAAATCCAAGGAACTATACAAATTTTAGTACATCT